CGCTGTCAGTCCTGGTGTTGTGGCCTACGCTCGCCCGCGGCCGGGTGCCTTGTTGAGTCCGGTGGGAGGCGCCCTAAGTTCGCTTTCGGGGTCCGGATCAGAGTCGCTCGGTCGCCCGTTCCCGGCGGTGTTCGGTGCCGGAAGTGTCTGTTCAGGCAGCTCGGGCAGCGGGTTGGCGTATATATCGTCCGCGGTGGACCAGGCCGTCACTGCTGGCGTGGGTAATAACGCCAAGGTGGAGCTGATTGAGTACTGTCAGAAGTTCAAGATCGTGCCACTGCCCAAGTTCGAGTGCACAGTAACCACTGGTGCCGAGAATGGACGTGCATCCATCCGGTGTGTTTGCACCAAACCGCCCTTCACTACATCAGGCGAGGGGCACAACAAGAAAATCGCCGAACGTATCGCCAGCTGCGAAATGCTGCAAATTCTAAAGACCCACCTGCCACGGTCCCGTTTCCCCCCGGGACCGCACGTGTCGGGAATTGCAAAAGGCGGCGCGGCCTCCGAGCAGGCTGCTCCGCCCGCCCACGAGACGGAGCCACCCGGGTTTGAGCCGGGAGCGACCCCGGACAACCCGAAGGGTGCGCTGCAAGAGTATGCGCAGAAGCACGGCTACTCACTGCCAGTGTACCAAGACCTTGGTCAACCTGAAGGTCCCGTGCACTCTCCCACCTTTGTGATCAGTTGCTCCATATCCAGCAAGGACGGTACGACACGGGTGTTCGAGACGGAGGGAAAAGGCAACAGTCGAAAAGCCGCCAGTCGAGAAGCCGCTCTCAAACTCTACTATCAGATCACTCGACCTAGCTCCCGCGGCGTCTTGGGACCAGAAGCCCGGACGACAACGACGACCCGGAAGACCGAAACGGCAACCCGGACATCGGCGGAGACCCGGGCTGGTAAGTCGTCTGCCGCAAAGACGGTTCCTCGCGACCAGGAAGACGAAGACGAAGAAATTCCTTCCACGGCTGGCCTGGGCGACTTTTTGCAAGACGTCCCGCGGGATCCTGTCGTCAGCACGCCCGTGGTCAGTCCCCCACGGTCGGACCTTCCGCCGCCGCCGGAACCTTCACGAGCGGCGCTTCCTCACCGGTCGCGGTACTTTGACGACACGCGCCCGCCGTTTACGGGAGGTATCTTGAACCGGCCGAGCGAGTCGGAGTTAGGCAGCCGCCATCCCGACAATCTCCACCCCGGCAGTCCCGACCTCGGCCTGAACGGAGAACACCAAAGCGGTGCGGAGACCGCGCCGAAGGTGGAGAAGTCGGAGGACGTGGCGACCAAGGAAGAGCCGGCCACGTCCACGGCGGGCGAGTTAACGGAGCAGCAGGAGTGGACATTGCGGAGCGCAGACACCTCGGACAGTCGCTTCGCCGACGGCCGTTTCCTCCACAGCGGTTTCTCCGATAGTCGCCGGAGTAATCTGTTGGCCTTGTTCCAAAACGACGACCACCTAACCACCCCGTCGGGACGCATGTTGGCGCCTCGTTTCGAGGCCTCGGCGGCGGGCTCGGAGTCTGCATTTCCGTCCACGCTCGGCGCCTCGACGGTCGTCGCCGGCGGTTACGAAATGACGGACCGAGCGAGGCGGAGTCGCACTGCGCACACTCGCGACGACTCGGCACTTGGCGACTCGGCACATGGCGATTCGGCACATGGCGATTCGGCACTTGGCGACCGGCCGTTGGGCGACCTGGAAGAGGGCGCCATCGACGAAGAGCGACTGCGACGACTCTGTGGCCTCCCGGGCGAACCGCGGTAGCCCTCACCGGGAGGCGAGGCGGTCCCGCCAAAGAAAGCGCCGCCGACCGGGCCCAAAACCGGGTAGGGGACGCGGGCAGCTCCTACGCGGAGCCCCAGGGTCGGAGCCCCAGGGTCGGAGCCTCAGGGTCGGAGTCACAGGGTCGGAGTCACAGGGTCGGAGTCAGACGGAGTATGTGGTTCATACATTGCTATCGAAGCTGCTTGCTGCAACTGTTTTTCTAGGGGGAGGGTTTGTTTGAAAAGCTCTCGGTGCTCTATTTTAACGTCCATTTCACTCACCTTGAGCCTTAGACCTTGAGCCTTTGGCCTTACGTCAGAGATTCAGTCTCAGACGTGTAATTGTCGGTCCTGGAGCCTGCCACAACGGGAGCCTGGCGCAAACGGGAGGGAGGCTGCTCCTCTTGGGCTTTCCAAATCTGTGATTCCCCTGGACGGCAAGATCCCCTGGGCGGTAAGATCCCGTGGGCGGTAAGATCTTTTGCATGGTTAGAGGTAGGTCATCATACCGGAGACCCAGTCATTGAATTCGCGCTCGTTTATGGCACCTTTAGAGTTGTCGTCGAGGGCTGAGTAGATGAGCCAGAGGTCGCCGCTGTGGAACATGTATTGGCCGTTGGAATAGTCACCGCAGAGTCGATTGAATTCGTCAAATTGAAGACCATGTGCAGCATCACTGATGGCGTATTTGCGATATACCTCAGTTACGTTGCCTTTGTAATGATTGCTGACTTGTTTCCGAATCTTCTCCAAGATCAAGGACTTTCGCAACCCTACGAAGAAACCAACTAAACCAACCACCAAAACCACCGAAGATAACGCGAGTCCAAACAACAGTCCTACTGACGAACTACGGTACGAACTTGACGACCATAGAATCACAATTGCCATACCACTCAAGTACACGTAGCCCGCACCCCGACCTGTCACTTTCGTAATGACCTTCATCTGCCGCCTCACAGCGTATCGCACAGGTGCCGCCCACTTTGGGATGCCAGGAAAGTCCATCAACATTATCACTACGCTAAAGCCACTACAGACACACCTGCATTAGGGAAGGGGGAGAGGGGGGGGAAGGGGGAGAGGGGGGGGGGATCAGTTAGTCAATCAGTACAGGAGGAACAAGCTCTCGATGGTGCCCGTAATCGACAGACCCCAAAGACTGTGGAGGAGCGCCATGAAGCCGGTGAAACAGGAGGCAATACCGGCCGCAAAAAAGAGGTGGCCGCAGTCCAGTTGGAACCGCGAGAGCACTTCCTCGATCTTAGCGCCACTCTCTTCCATCCGGTCGGTGAAGCCGCCTGCCATCGGGGACCCCCCATGAAGCAGCAACTCCTCCTGTTGCTCGACGGCTAAGAACACACACTCATGATACATGTACAAGGAGGGGTCCAAGAGGGGGAACATCAGGATAGTCGTTGAGGTGGTTCATACCACCGGGATAGTGAAAATGAGATATCATAGTATATGCGACCGGATAACGATCCGTGGCAATAAATAACGTTCTATACTTTTTCCAATAACTGTTATTACGTAGCGACAGTCACTGGTCCCCCAACTGTTCCCAATAGCTACCAGTCCTCCCAACCGCTATCTGAACCCGCGATACCGAGCTAGTGACCCCGAGCTTGTTGGGGTGTGCCTTACCACCGTTATGTCACCGCCGCGGAATTTCGGAGGAGTGAATTTTAGGGAGAAGCCAAGACGCACAAGGCACGCCAGAGAAGGTGTGGATGGCTCAAGCGTTGGAATCGCGTCGCCGAGCTGCGTGGTTCGGTCCCTAAACCAAGCACGTCTCCCCGCTCCGAAAAGTTCCCAGAGACTGCCAGCGTCTGCACGAACCAACTCCCACCGGACCGGGTGGAGTGCAAGGCTCTGGTAGACTCAGAGAACTTGTTGGAACGGGTTTACGCAGTTGGAGAAGGACGGACACATGACGCAGTGTTCTAAACGAAAGCGCAACACTCACTCGTGTGGGTGTCACTCACTCGTGTGGGTGTCACCCACTCGCGCGTGGGTGTCACCCACTCGCGCGTGGGTGTCACCCACACGAGTGGGTGTGGCAAACTTTTTGGCCGCAAACAACTACTGCACCTCCCAGCGTCGTGGACCTGATTGAAATCGTCGTGTTCCAGGACCAAATTTCGTGTCAAGGCGCGTTTGGGGACAGAGTAATTAAAAACTTCCGATGCAGTTGAAGAGTCGTGCGCGTTGTGGTAAGCACGGTTTGGGCCGGGTGCTCTTGTCGTCGATGCTCTGTTACGACGATCATGACGCGTGGAGTGGACTGGAGTACGAGTTGGCGAAGCAGCGACATGGCGCGCGAGGCAACGTCTATTTTATGGTGAACGAGAAGGGCGGTCGGGTGGCGGGGGAATTGGACAGCGAAGTGTTGTCGGGGGACCCGGACTGTGAGGCGCTGTCTCCCCTGCTCACTAAGGTCCTGGTCCCGGAAGCGCCCTCTCTCTCCTGGCTCGGCCTTTGGGAAACTGTTAGCAAACGGTTCGGTCGACGATCCAACCGACGAACAGCAGCCAGACGCAAGGCAGTAGAGACGATGGAAATGATCCCGGCGGCGGCGAACAGGATCGCCTGGGTCGGTGTGCAATTTGAACACGCGGGAGCGCTGCGCACGACAAGACGCACATTGGCGGCGGTCACGGCCTGCGTTGCGTTCCGGCGCGACCTGCTTGGGGCCGTGCCCTATAAGCGTCTCTGGGCTTGGCTCAACGCCAACCTTTGGACGGAAGGCCTGGCGCTCCGCGTCCAGAACGTTCGTTCCTCCCCTTCGAAACCGGCCATGATTAAAGCGAAGGACCTGGCTACGGCGGACCTGGCTACGGCGGACCTGGCTACGGCGGACCTGGCTACGGCGGACCTGGCTACAGCGGACCTGGCTACGGAGGACCTGGCTACGGAGGACGCATTGACTGCGTTCGCTGCGTTCGCGTTAGCACGGTGTTACGAGGCTGCCCCGAACTCGCGAGTTACGCGGGAGGTGTTGCGGCGAGCGTTGCTTAACATGTTCCCTGGCGATAAGTGTCCGCTCACGGACGACCAGATCAAGCGGGTTGTGGGGTACGCATTCATGACCGGAGCGACGGCGGAAATGGCCAAAGGATTTGGCTGCAACGGAACTGCACTTCTCGTACCCGAAGAATGGATCATATACGACTGCTGGTTATCTAACGGACGCAACCAAGCCGAATCATGCAAGACCAAAAACACACACCTAGGAGCCCTAGCAAAGAGGCTCCCGCAGAACAGCTTTAGACTCGACGCCGTGGATGGGTGATTTCTTTTTTAGCTACTGCAAACACGTCGTCGTTTCTCAGTCAGGTAAGGACGGCCACCGACGAGTGCCGGTCGCACACTCCGACGGCTCACCGATAAAAAAAGGGTTGTGGCCTCCTCCTGGAAGAAATTCGGGCACAATGTTTTGTGTGAGTAGTCAATGGAGTAACTCTGCCTTGCGAGCGGCGATGGTGTGCGGTTTGCTCGGTTACGACAGAGGCATGGCCTACAGTGAGATGGAAAGAGTTTTGTCAGAAGACGGAGGTATGGTTGGAGGCGATTGTCCCCAGGTCCGAGGTGACGGGGTGGTTCGAGATGGATCGACCAGAACATCTCGAGATGGATCGACCAGAAAATTTGGTCGACCAAGTAGGATGTCGTTGAACCTGCCGGTCTCGGGGTCCTTGGTGTACGCGAGTGCAGTGGACCGTGACTGGAACTGTACGGAGGTCCGCATCGCCCACAAAGGCGCCGCCCTGACAGTTAAGCCAGGTCCGGCCCACAGTCCTGGGGCCGAACCGAGTCGTCGGAGTCGAAGTCCGGGATTAAGTCCGAAGACGAAGACTTCCTTCCCGTCTCTGTCTTGTTACTCGGTCGCTGACGAACCCGCTGGAAAGAAGACGGCTCAGCTGCCACTCATGAGCGGGCTGACGGCAACCACTGCCGCGAAGAGGGGCGGGGTCCGCGATGCCCCGCGCGGTGGGAATTCGGCCGCCAGAACAACTACCCGTCCCGATCGGCGCCGAGTGAAGGAGAGAACCTTCACGTGGATGAACCTGTTCTTCGAAGACAAAGGTGCGGCGGAGAAGTCGGTGGCGAAGCCGTCGAGGTCGGTGGCGAAGCCGTCGAGGCTTGTCAAGACGTCAGTAGCGTTTCGGAGCCACCTCGTCAGGTCCATACCCCTCGGGGAACTGAGGGAGTGGCTGACCAGGAACGTTTGGACGGAAGGGCTGGCCATCCGAGTTCAAGGGGTGATTCACGTGGACGTGCCGTCCGTAGACGTGCCGTCCGTAGACGTGCCGTCCGTAGACGCGGCGACGGAGGAAGTGGTGGAGTGGAACAAAAGGCAGTCGCTGGTCGCATTCGCCACGTACGCCCTCGCGAGTAGTTACAAGGCGGCTCGGAATCCGCGAATGACCCAACAGGTGTTGAGGAACGCGCTACTGAACATGTTCCCCGACGAGGACGCCGAGTGCCCTCTCACGGAAGAGCAGGTGGAGAAGGTAGTGGAGCATGTATTCACCACCGAGGTGATACGCGACGTTCTAAGGGCGGCGTCGCAGTCCACAGAGCAGTCCGAGGAAAAGTGTGCGCTAGATGATGAGCCGGATGATGAGCCGGATGATGAGCCGGGTAAATGGGCGGTTTGGAAGGTGGGGTTCGCGCCATCTGCGGAGGTGCGTGGCCTGTGGAATACGAAGCATCCAAACTTGGGTCACTTAGCACCGGACATTTAGAGCCAGACATTTTAAAACGTGACACTCACAAATAAAATAACCACCCCTGGTAGCCATTCCAACCACCCCTGGTAGCTATTCCAACCACCCCTGGGTCCCACTCCTACGACCATAGTCCGACCTCCTCCGCCGCCCTGGCGCCAGGTTCTCTATTCGGCGCCACTCTTCCGACCTTTCCCTACTGCCCAGCGCACAAATGATACGGTAGAGCGGACCGTATTGACGCAGCGGGATGCAGCTTTATTTATTCGAGATGTTTGTTGGCTTCTTTGAGATCTTTGGGGTTGGTTTTCCGGACGACAACGATACCCTCAAGAGTGGGTGCTAGAGGCTGCCATTCGGCGGAGCCCATTTCCGCCTTCTCGCCGTCGGATAAGAGAACGGGTGTGTCATGGATACGAACACCGGTTACTTGTCTGGGTTGACCTGCGAGGCCGGACACGTCCACGGCTTGTCCGACGCGTACGGGACACGCGACAGGCTCGCCCGTCTCGGTCACCGTGATCAACCACCGGGGCCGAATCGCCAGCACGAGATGTAGCATGTTCAAATGGTAACGTCTAACGGGAACGAAAGTGTTGTGCAAACACGTGTTTGTTCTTACCCTTGGCACAGAGTGTCTTTGGTCAGGAGAGCTTGGACGCAGAAGGCAAAGAGACCAGCCAGAGATTGTTTGAGTACGAGTTGTTTGTCACCATGGAGTGGACTTAATGTATGAAGACCTTTACCAGCGAAGACGAGACCTTGGGAGAGTTTGAGGAGGAAGAGTGCGTTAGCATCCATGGCATAATAGACGGCGAGGCTGCGTAGGATTTGTGCGACCCGTGCGTTGTTGGTTCCTGCTGCAACGACGCCGAGTGCCACGATTGCGTGTAGTGCCGTGTCTGCATCAGCGTCGTGCGAGAGTTTGCTCAGCAACTCGACAACGCCAGGCTGCGGATTCGAAACCGAGTGCAGTGCCACCGCCACCGGGATCGCTCGCCGCACCAACAGACCATCATATTGCAACATGTGATTCACGATCCGCAGAAACATTTCAGAGCCAATTGGCTCATGAAGATTGATCAACGGCAAACCCAACAACGCAACACCCGGTACAATGTTCTCCAATTCTTCATTGACAAATGTCAACAACGTCTTACCCTTCTCCTCAGCACGCGCCACGTACTCAGGCTCGCCACCCGAAACAGCCCCCGGCATCGGCTCTACACCTTCTACTGCCGCAGTCTCTGCCACGGTTGGCCCTTGACCTTCCGCGGGTGCCTGACCTTCTGTCTGGTTGTCGTTCTTGTCTGCTTGTCTTTCGGCCTGCTGTACTTGGTTGGCATCCCCTTCTTTCTCACCTTCTTTCTCACGCCCTTCTCCCACTTCTTTCTCACCTTCTCCCACTTCTTTCTCACGCCCTTCTCCACCTTGTTCCTCACGCCCTTCTCCCACTTCTTTCTCACGCCCTTCTCCCACTTCTTTCTCACGCCCTTCTCCCACTTCTTTCTCATCCGCGTGCTGTTTTTCGGCGTCTTCAGTGATTATTGCGTTGACTTTTCGGAGACACTTCTGTATACACGTTTGGCATTTGAGAACATTGCCGGTGGCGGCGTAGGCTGCGATTTCGACGAGTACTTGTGTTAGTTCGCTGAGTGGGTGTGGAATGGCTTGTAGGAGGAAGAGTGCTCCGTGTGCTTTGTCTTGTTGTTGTAGGAAGACAAGTGCGAGTGCTAAGCCTATATTGAAGACATGTACAGTTTCGACAGTTTCAGCACGGTCGGCAACAGCTTGTATGAGTACCTCAGTGACATTTTCATCGGCGGTTCCGCAAAAGACAAGCCCGAGTGCGAGAGCGGCGGCGGAAGCGGCTTCGGCACCTCCAACAGCGGCGGTGTCTACGACTGCAGGTACTAGAAGTTCTAGCACTTCCGGTTTCGCGGTACCACAATAAGCGTATCCCAAAGCGGCATATGCGGCCATTCGATCATTAGCATCATCTGATTGGATGGCATCACTGACCAAACTTATAATAGGATCCAACTCATTGCAGCTCCCAGCATCACAACACCCAAATCCTAGTATAGCTCCGGCTCGGGTAAAACTGTCTTGCGAGTATTGGAACTTATCTAGCTTCGTTAGACCTTGCTCCACATTCCACAGATTCAGCAGCCCCAAGCATGCTATCGCACCACTCAAGCCATGATGTCTTGCTCTCTGGAATAAACCTTCGGTGGTCAAAGCTTCATCTACTCCGAAGCCTGCATGCACGAAACCACTGGCATATGCAGCAACCAAAGCGGCACGTGCTGGTTCCAAACTACTGCGTAATTTTCGACCAGGCTCCTCAGCACGTAAGATGTCTTCTGCAGACCTACATGCGACCACATCTAGTTCTTTAGCCAAATATTCAAGTAAACTAGAAACGTGTTCTCTGCGTAGAATACCATCCACTTCATTCAACTTCAAATCTACAGTGGCACCCTCAACAACTTCCAACTCCGCAGCACTCGAGACGAACCGGTTCTCCGCTAATTGGTACGCCAATTGCAAACGCATCAGTCGTCGTACGCTCTTCTCTTCTTCCGCGTCTTCGTAAACCCACCGCACGTGCACACTCGGAGTCCAACGGTCCGTCGTCGCTGCCGTCGGACAAAGCCTCGTAGGCTTCGCCTCTATGTCCCCACAAAACCTAAACAGCTCACGCACTAATCCACGGTCCCCCAAACTTAACGCGTACTCCAACGCCATCGATAACGCACCATGACTCACTGCCATGTCGTAACAAATACGCAACATCGCTTCACGCTCTGCCTCCTCCGTCCTCATCCCTGCCACTGCCCGCAAATACAACGTCGCCTTCAACGCATCCTCATAGTCCATCGCAATCTAAAATCACACTGTAAAACACCCCCTAGTAATTGTCCCGCAAGTGAGTCCCATACGGGTGAGTCCCATACGGGTGAGCCCCATACGGGTGAGCCCCACACGGGGGACCCAGTGAGTCCCACACGGGGGACCCAGTGAGCCCCATACGGGGGAGCCAGTGAGTCCCACACAGGGGAGCCAGTGAGTCCCACACAGGGGAAATAACTCCGGCCCACAGAAACCGCGGCCATTTCCCACTTTGCGCCACGACCCGGGACTGGTAACGGAGCCCGCCACTCACTTCACGTATCCTTTCCACATTTCCACCGTCTATCAATTCGTCCAAGCATGACACCGTTGGTTTCAACACCTCGGTCATTTGATCAATAAAAAAGGGCACCCGCCCTCTCGCCACTGGGCTACTTGTTGCTCAGTGACCAAGCCGAGTACTAAACGACTGTCGACATGGTGGACGAGTGTGCGTGCTGAAAGCAAAGAGTGTGAGTCGTCTTACTGTGCCAGGTATCCGTGAACGCCTTTCACGCCACGAGTTAACGCAAAGAGACTTATGCCCCCGCGTCCGGGCGGCAGCGTTTTGTCAGGTGTGTGACCAGTGCGCGCAGGGTGCATGCAGAGCATGGTGAGAGTGGTGTTGTTTTTGCTGTCAGTGTTAAGTTGGGCGGGTTTGTATGAGCCGTCGCGTTTGCTGTACGGACATGTTTCACCTGGGACAGGTTCATTGGAGGAATGGTACCTTCGGTCTTTATTGAGTGCGGGTGTTTCTGAAGTACTGTTACCTGGTTACGTGGGCAAGAGCATGTTGACAGGACCGATAGCATCATGGCAGAATGACTTCTCGGACTCGCAGCGTTCGACATTACGGCAATTCGCTCGACAAAAGAAGAATCGGTTGTACATGATAGTGGATGCGAGTGTGACTCTAGATGCACGTGCTGGCACAGATGCATGTTCTCTGGCTCAGGCTCTTAAGTTGGATGGTGTGTTGTTCGCATTGGGCAGTAATACGGCAGGTGTGCGTGATGCCTTGACGTCCTGCGCACAGTTCGTTGACTGGACCGGGACCATTACGCCATCCCAGGTTTCTTCACCCGCCGTGGCTACTGGTGCGGCTGACTATGAAAGACACATTGTGGCTTTCTCACTCAGTGACTTTGCATCTAATAGATCACTCGCAGATGCCATGCCCGGTGTACCCGAAAGCCTACTAGTCGCAGGCACCATTTGCGAAGGACAAGTCTGTCCAGCCGAACTTCTCAAACTACCCCTCAATGATAACGGAATCTATCTCGGAAACATTCCCTCACCTGCCGATGCTAACCTAGAGCAGTTCCTTACCACGACGCTACCCGATATCAATGGATTACTCGACGATGACGACCGGAAGGCCACCCCCGCTAGTCCAGAGTCGGGCGGAGCCATCTGCAAACCCCGACATTGAACTTAATTTCTGGACATTGAACTTAACTTCGGGACCTCGCACACAACTGGGACCTCTGGCTAACAGAACCTCGTTTCAGCCACCTGGACATTAACTCTATTTTTCGACACACAACCATTCAACGTCAACAGGTCTTATTGCTCGGTCTTATTGCTCGGTCTTATTGCTCGGTCTTATACCCGGCATCACATACAGGTCCCGATCATGACGATCGGAAGTGGGTGGTATAAATAAAATGCCGGAGTTGCGTCCGAATACTTGGTCTGCGGTACAGTCGTTCCCGGCACCGGACGGGTCGCGTACATTGCGGGTAGCGGTGGATTCATCGGTGATGGATGCGTTGCAATCTCGTGAGTTATCAGGAATACGGCAGTCGTATGTGTGGACATCGTTGGTTGGTGATAGTCGTCGGAGATTGACTACGGAGACGGAGGTGCAAACAGGAGGTTTATGGGTATCATTGGATCAGTGGTTTGGTCGAAGTCCGGGACTGGGGTGCGTGGAAGGTGAGAGTTATCGGTTGCCTCGAATGTTGATAGACCACTTGCGTTGTGGAAGGGTGGTCAGTGTCCAGCAGACATTAACGTTAGACTCGCAACTAGCCTCGGGTGTTCGCAACGACGTTATTGTCGTCATGGCCAACGGCGAAAAGGAGAACCTACGTCAATACCTAAAACGCGAACGAGCCTCTGTCGAAATGTGCGCACCACTTAGCGCAGAAGAAGCCAACGCATTCTTTTCCAATCAACATCTCATTGGTGTCCGTCACTCATGGAGCGCCGCTGAGCAACATACTATCGAAATCCTGCACCAAGGCTCCCAACACTGGACCAGACTAGATAGCGTCGAAGTCTCTGTCTGGAACAAGATCGTTAAACCCCACTTCAGATTCACTTACTCCACCCAAGGTAAAAAGGACTCCGTCAACAGCCAAAGCCCATGGGTCGAGTGAACCAACCTATCGTGGACCAACCTATCGGGGACCAACCTATCGCGACGATGACAATGATGTGCTCTGCCATGGTTAGCAGATTTTGGGGTGAAGCTTTTTGGGACGACGAAGCTTTTTTATTTTGATGGGAATTAAGACTATATCTGACTATGAGGAGGCAGCCAACAAGAAAAAGGGCAACACTACATTCGCTGGTGGAGAACAAAGGTAAGCGTCGCCACATGTTGTAACACACGTTGTAACACACAGACACACACGTGTGTGTAGTGGGTTGGCTATTGATCAGCCTGTGACATCGTCTAATGAGCGGATGGAGTTGTACGCGGATGGTTTCATGATGTTGGGTCGGTTTCGTCCTTTCTCGGAGCCGGGGAATCGAGAGTTATGGGAGGCAATAAAAGCGGGTGAGGCTCCGGCGGAGTTGAGAGAAGTAATGAGGAAGCATCCAGAAGGTCTGACTGTTGAAATAGTTGACAAAACAAGTCGGGTATATAACCAGGAGCCGGAGCGAAGAGTTGAGCAAGCTTCACACTTATTTCAAGGTCCAGGTTATAGTCTTAGTCCCACTGCTGGTCCTGAGTTGACGGAGCCCCATCAACCGTCTTTCAAAGACAAACTAAAAAGCAAGCTTTGTGGCGTTGGAAGCACTGCCAAGCCATTCTCAGTAGATAATTCTAAGCCTACCATCACCCTTAATTTTAGATACCTGGATGGATCGCGAGGTAGTCAAACATTTAACCTGCATCACAACGTAGATGATGTCTACCAATTCGTTACAGCCCATACAAATCCCGGCCGTCCTTTCCAAATCGTGCATGGCTTCCCACCCAAAGCATTACCTATCGACATTAACATTGTGAACCTACAAAACGAACTTCTTACTCAAAGATAAAAAAAGGATGGAAACTACTCTAGAGAGTTAGCCGTGTATCTTATTAAACGTATTTTCTTGGACACCTTAACCATGCATCCGACGACACTATCGTCCCACGAAACTATCGTCCCACGAAACTATCGTCCCACGAAACTATCATCCAACCAATCATCCAACCGACCGGGTGGGAAATCTTGTCTTTTTTTCCTTGGCTCTCAGAACGATTACAATGAGATGGGCCACTGTGATTATTCTATTGTTGGCGGACTGGTCAGCAAGTTCGGACGAGGTCTGGCACAGGTTTGATCATGTAGAGACTACGTCCACGACATCTAAGCTGCCGTTAGAAGATTTGCCTAAATCTACACCGGTGAATCAAGAAGCGATGCTTACACGAGGTTCTGGTGTTTGGAGTAGTTTTGGCGACCACTTAGACGACGAAGAGGTGACGGTAACACTAGGGCTTAATAAGCCCACCTTAATGAAGGGTCTCCATGTCGACTGGGTGCTGCCTCCTTCATTTTACAAGCTAACCGGATACGTCGAAGGATCCAATACGGTTAGCAGCGAGAAGGACCTGGTGCCCTGGACTGCATACGACAATCCTAACACCACCCAAGATGTGTCTTTCTCCAACAACTATTTCTTCAACCGCATTCGACTGGACATGAAGCAGTACAGTCCCTAGTCAAACCAACACCCTAACACCTTGCTCTAGTCCACCCACTGAGACCTATTCAGACCCCAGGCCAACGGGAAATTCAGTATCAACTTCGCCGCAGCAATCGTTCCCAGAAGCGACCTCTTCGTAACAGCGACCAATGATGCACACCCCATATCCTACTCCCCCCCC